TAGGTCGAGGGTGCCCAAAACATGCATCAGTGAAAAGAATCTACTACTGAACTATAAGGAAGTCATACATTATCACTAAATGCTTGACAGTAGAATAGTGAGTTCATTTATATTATATGGTATTCTGGTGAGCAACAAAGGGTACAACAGAAGAACAGAATTCCACATGCTTTGTTGAGGCGAACTGATGGATTGAAAGAGGAAGATTGGTCAGCTGAAAGTGGAGATGCACATCTGTGGAGTCAGCGAAGAAAGGAATGAAAAAAAGATGACGTTGACAAGTGGTAACAAAGTGAAGTTATTGACAGCAACATTATTACCTCATTCATGTGGTCAACACTCACAGCATCGTTTCTCTAAATAAGTGGAATTTAGACACTCAATTGTGTGAATTTGATGTCAATTTATGCTCGACAGGCGGTGAGAAGAAAGATAGGGGGTTCTAATATCAGTAACGTCGAATGGGGAAAATGCATTTCAGTGAAATCGGAGGAAAATGGCTAATGACATTGTGCACGGTCATGTTAACGTTGAGAACCACCGTTTCCAAATCAGTGGCCTGATTCCATAACTCTATGTGCGGGTATTTATTATTTTTCCCTTGGGTTCCTAGTGGAACATAGGGATTCAGTAGCACGCCTCCATTTCACTCTCCTCTCTCCAATCTTCTCAATCTTCATCCACGAATACCCACAAGCTTTCATTTCTTCTTCACATGATCTCCTCCATGTCACACTCACCTCTGACATCCAACTCGTCGGTTCTCCTTTGGATTCCACTCGACGACCTGGCCTGGCCTGGTCTGGCATAGCATGGCATGGCATGGCCTCACCTGCCTAGCGCCTCATGTCCACAATCAACCTTCTCAGTGTATCCCCAATCCAATCCATATCCACCTTCTTCTGCATATTCGTTGGGTAGTAGGTTCTTGGTTGCTTCGTCATCAGCTAGTCAGAGTTCCCTGTTGCTCATTCTTATTATTCTGGCCATCCATCTGATCTTCAGTGTCAGTATCGAGTGAGCGTAGGTGGCAGCTGTTGATGGAAGTGTGTGGTTTAGTTTGTTGGGAGTGCTTTTCGTGACGCGTCAAGTCTCCGAATCAACCATAAAGCGGCACTGACTTTACTGGCATTGGTGTTGAAAATCCGGATGTTGTTCATGCTTTATGCTTAGTGCAGTGTAGTAGACATCTACACTGGTTTCATATTAATCAAAGCCTATCTTGCTTTTCCGATCAAGATGAATGTCTGTAGTTTGTTGGAAGTACCCACGCGGATAGAAGATGACTACTGAGCTTTACATTTTATACTGGGTGGTGATTGAATGTGAAATGGAGACCTGAACGGCGACCGGACTCGAACTGGAGACCGCCGGGACCCCTGCCCGATACTCTACCGACTGAGCTACTAGGTCATGACTACTATTAAACCGTTGAAAATTTCTCGAGTAAGCCTATTGAGCTGTTATGGCTATCAGTGTCAAGAGGTTTTTCAAATTGACGCCTCCAGTAGGATGAAAAAAACAAGTCTTTGTGGCAGTGCACTGAGGTTAGCCGGAGGCCTCATAGTTTTACCTAAAAAGAAATATCATTTTGCATGTATACAGTAAAATAAACCCCATCAAAAATTTGTTGACTGACAGATTAGAAGGCTCTTACTTTCTGTTACTAGAACTTGTTATGACTTGAACTTTTAGCACCTATAATCAACTGGTAGTTGGCAGTCAAATCTCTACCTTAAGTTTATCGATTTTGAAAAGGCCTTCGACAGCGTAGGCCAAGAAGTAATTCAGGAGTTGCCTAAACACTACGGAGTACTACAAATCTTTATTAACCCCATTTAGCAGCTACATGGAAACGCCACATGCCAAGTGATCCACAGTGGAGAGCTCAGTGACGCCTTTGAAGTAAAGACAGAAGTGAGACGAGGTTGCCGCCTGCCATCATCCATGATCTTCCTGATTATGGTCGACTGGATCATGCAACAAAACATGATGAGTGAGAAGAGGGGCATATGCTGACTGGATTGATGAAAAGACTCCAGAAGAAGATTTGGATTTCGCCGCCGATGGTGATTTATGTCTAATGTCTTGCGGCGCGAACTCAGAGATAGACAGGCAAAATCCAACAAGTTGACACAACAGGCATGACAGCGAAGACAAGACTTCAAGTCAATGTAGAGGAAGACAGAGTTGATCAAGATACCCAACCAACAGCAACATCAACAACAATAACAATCACCAATCACCACGAACGGCAGAAATATAAACCAAATTGTCTCCTTCACCCACCTGACTAGGCAGCATCGTTCCAACTACAGGCGCTGGCACAGGCACAGATGAGGATCTCAAAGCCAGGATAGGAAAAACACTAAGACAGGCTTTCATCAATATGAAACCAGTGTAGATGTCTACTACACTGCACTAAGCATAAAGCATGAACAACATCCGGATTTTCAACACCAATGCCAGTAAAGTCAGTGCCGCTTTATGGTTGATTCGGAGACTTGACGCGTCACGAAAAGCACTCCCAACAAACTAAACCACACACTTCCATCAACAGCTGCCACCTACGCTCACTCGATACTGACACTGAAGATCAGATGGATGGCCAGAATAATAAGAATGAGCAACAGGGAACTCTGACTGGCTGATGACGAAGCAACCAAGAACCTACTACCCAACGAATATGCAGAAGAAGGTGGATATGGATTGGATTGGGGATACACTGAGAAGGTTGATTGTGGACATGAGGCGCTAGGCCAGGTGAGGCCATGCCATGCCATGCTATGCCAGACCAGGCCAGGCCAGGTCGTCGAGTGGAATCCAAAGGAGAACCGACGAGTTGGATGTCAGAGGTGAGTGTGACATGGAGGAGATCATGTGAAGAAGAAATGAAAGCTTGTGGGTATTCGTGGATGAAGATTGAGAAGATTGGAGAGAGGAGAGTGAAATGGAGGCGTGCTACTGAATCCCTATGTTCCACTAGGAACCCAAGGGAAAATTATAATAATCAACCGGTAGTTGCCTGGTCTTTCTGAGTAGTCGAACATGTGTGGTCCAATTAGAATTCTATTTTGGTTTCTCCAGATAAAGTGTATAGGAACACCGACCTTTGATAAAACTCACATGTCTCCTAGGCTAGTTATTTTTATAATTTCACTACTCTGACTGTAGTTTGACGTCTTCTGTAAACATTTCTACGATACAGCCACTATCACTTTACATACACAACGACTTAAATGTGCGTTGAAACTGGGAAACAAGAAGTTAAGAAGTGAACTGTGATTGGTTGTTATGTACTGGATTTATTTCTACTTTCTGAAGGTTCTGATTAACGACTAAGTTTCTGTCACACTGTATACAATTAACTTTTAATGGGAAGAGTCGTTTACCATCAACAAATGCTAAAGGAAGACGGAGATAGATACCGAATTCACTTTTTGCCGTCACGACAATGCTGTTGAAACTTTAGCCGCAAATAGACTTTACTATTGTCTACTTAAAATAGAGTTTACACAATGTTAAAAATCTTTCTGTTAAGTCGATTGGAAATGATCATCACAGGAGTAGTAGTCTTATGCTGCGGTAATTGCTGACAAAGTAGTTCACAATGCATACAACGGCACCATCTTTGCTTTGATACACTTAATTCCAGAAGGGTTGATTACCTCTTAGAGACTCGAACACGCTATTCTTCACAAGAACTTCCGCAGACCGACGGATACGTTAGGCAAACGAGATGTCTGGAAGCTATTCTTTGTTTCTGTTGATACAGAGAGACATGAAATTATGTACACTGAAAATAAGCTACATATCTCAATGTGAGACATTAATCTATCAAATATTGGACAAATACAGTTTTGCTGAACAGCTCATAGTACCCCAGTCTGGTTATAACTGCTCATGTGAGTGAATATTGACAGTATATCCTCACAAAGGTAGTAGCAATAAAGATACAACTCTGTAAGTCTCCAACCTAACGAAAACCTGATTTGTATAACAGCACTCAGATGATCCTCGGTTTTACAGCAGAATATATTTGGAGATTCATTCCAACTAACAGGTACTATTATGTTTGATGTTATGTCTTGTGCATTTCGACCACTGATAGTTTCAAAATGATCGGTTTCTATTGGTACATTGGCTGCTGTGCGGGAACCTCACTATTAATTACAAGCACTATCTTGACTTTCAATAAAAGTCCATTCTGAACCTTCGATTAACTACTAGATGAAAGCTAACGACTAAGACTTGTCCGATGATATATTTATACGTACACGATGTACCAAGTGAAGACTGAAGATGAATATCTAATAGCCACTAAATCCACCTAGCCTGGTAATAAAACTTTGAAAAAACACCACCATCTATCTCCTGAGATAGAAATCTTTCTCACTACATCGGAGGTGAATATTCATCGACACTACTGGACAGTAGTCATGATAAGTTGACTACGGTTGAAAAAACTAATTGGTTCCCTATGAGACTAGAAAGATAATTAGTTTGACCCTGGCAACAGATCAAAGTATTGTGTGCACACATGTCCAACTGACTCTTCGTTGTTTCAAATTATTACTGATCAGCTTGAACAGAACTGTGATTTTCCCATCAGGTAATAGTATGTTTCAAGATTTTTCCTCTTACAGTGTTTATGTGTGTGTGTGTGTTCAGTGGCCTGACCATTCGTAAATTTTGACTTAACAAAGAAAACAAAACATTAAAAAGAAGTAGTATTCATCATGGACTGACATCAGTTGGGGAACCATTGAAAATCTGGAAACCGATGCAGTGACTGGATGGTTAACGCGTTCACCGTGAAACCTGAAGGTCTTGAGTTCGATTCCTAGGCGGGTCGTGGGTACGTACTGCTGAGAAGTCCCATACTAGGACGAAACAGCTGTCCAGTGCTCCAAGATATCCAATAGTTCCATAATGAATATACTACTTCTAAATTCAAAAAAATCCCCATTCATGTCAAAAATACATTACATTAAAAGGAATTAACAACAACGAAAGGTTAGTTTTTATTTTTAATATCGTAAAGCATTTTTATAGTATTTTCGAAAGTAATAATAATAGTAACAATGATAATAATAATAATAATAATTATAGTAAAGCATTCCCGTAATCATACAAATTCAATTTGAAAATAAACGCAGACAGTATGAAGTACTATAGCATATTAGTAACAGATAATTATCAAAGCTGGTTCCCTACCTATCCCCATATATCCCATGCATGCAATCACTTTGTCATTCGACAAGTTTTGAAGATGAAGCTTGATAAGTGAACAGAATAGGATATCGGTCGCGGTCAAAATAAAAAGGGGGAAAAAGTTCCATGTGTTTCTTGGTGTAGTCTAACTGTTAGCGAATGTACAGTCGCTACACATTCTCTTCAACAGTGCATTACCCTTATAAGAGAGTTCAGGGAAATAATAATATGATGATAAAATCAGAACACCAAAAATATTTTAAATAATTCCATAAAATATAATTGGTAATAATAATTATAGCAAGGGTAATTAGGATAATAGTCAAAATCCGGTAAAATAATAAAAAATACAAAACAAGAAATTAACCATAATGTTTTATATTTGTTTGAATATTCAAAGAAAAAAATAAATTAAGTAATACTGTGCGCAATAGTTAAGCGAAATTAGAGATCAAAAGTTATTTAAAAGCCAATATTGAAGCACTAAATTTATATTGAACCATTGAACGAATACAGTAGGTTGGTTGTTGTTAATAATTATCATTTGAAGATTGAATTTGATATGAATGTTTTGTGTACACTCGTATGAATTTGGCAAGTGTCCAAGTGTTTTAACTCATTAATTAACTAGCATTGTGTATTGTTTAGAAAAGAGTGGATATATGCTATAAGTTGATGTGTGGCGCAGTCTGTCAATAAACCTACAAGCATCATCCAAAGTGTGAACTGGAGTAAATATCTCAGGCTTTGCATAACTGCTGTAACCATCTCTCTCTCTCTCTTGGTCTTAGAAGCACCATAAACAAAGAGGTATATTGAACAGAACTTAAATGACTCGAAAATAATGAGACTGGTTCAATTGAAATTGGTAATTCCAGGTTTAAATGTTTGTGTGTGTGTGTGCATGTGTCCATATTGCTTTGCCCTTCATGATAATGATACTTGACATGTAGGAAATGTTGACAACAATAACACCACAAGTTAAATCACGAACGAATCAAATCGCAATGATAAAAAGGTAGTCCGAAATATAAGCGAAAAATGAAAAAAAAATGTCTTAGCAATAATAATTATTATATAATAATTAGGTTTATTACTATAGTTGGCCACAACTGAAAAGTCATAGCAGTGACAATACGAAAACAATAACAACAATGACAGCAACAATAATAGGAACAACAATAAAAAGAAGTATATCAACTCGATTTCCCTATTCCACCCACTCCGCAATCAAGAAAGTATAAACGAATAACTTGAGAGAAATGGAGTATTCTCCAGTTTGTTTTCTCTTTTGTTGAACTTTTCTCTTCATGTCTCAGAAACAGAAACATCCAGGTCTTCATTGATTGGATGTTCCACTGAGTACTTCAATGTTAGCTCACGTATTTCACCTGGAATGTGTAGTAGAAAAAAAGCAAACAAATAAATGTGAACGGTGAAACAACATGAATTTAGTTTTATCTAATTTATTATTATCTTATTGTTTTTCCCTTGGTTCCTAGTGGAACATAGGGATTCAGTAGCACGCCTCCATTTCACTCTCCTCTCTCCAATCTTCTCAATCTTCATCCACGAATACCCACAAGCTTTCATTTCTTCTTCACATGATCTCCTCCATGTCACACTCAACCTCTGACATCCAACTCGTCGGTTCTCCTTTGGATTCCACTCGACGACCTGGCCTGGCCTGGTCTGGCATAGCATGGCATGGCATGGCCTCGCCTGGCCTAGCGCCTCATGTCCACAATCAACCTTCTCAGTGTATCCCCAATCCAATCCATATCCACCTTTTCTGCATATTCGTTGGGTAGTAGGTTCTTGGTTGCTTCGTCATCAGCTAGTCAGAGTTCCCTGTTGCTCATTCTTATTATTCTGGCCATCCATCTGATCTTCAGTGTCAGTATCGAGTGAGCGTAGGTGGCAGCTGTTGATGGAAGTGTGTAGTTTAGTTTGTTGGGAGTGCTTTTCGTGACGCGTCAAGTCTCCGAATCAACCATAAAGCGGCACTGACTTTACTGGCATTGGTGTTGAAAATCCGGATGTTGTTCATGCTTTATGCTTAGTGCAGTGTAGTAGACATCTACACTGGTTTCATATTGATGAAAGCCTGTCTTAGTGTTTTTCCTATCCTGCTTTGAGATCCTCATCTGTGCCTGTGCCAGCGCCTGTAGTTGGAACGATGCTGCCTAGTCAGGTGGTGAAGGAGACAATTTGGTTTATATTTCTGCCGTTCGTGGTGATTGGTGATTGTTATTGTTGTTGATGTTGCTGTTGGTTGGGTATCTTGATCAACTCTGTCTTCTCTACATTGACTTGAAGTCTTGTCTTCGCTGTCATGCCTGTTGTGTCAACTTGTTGGATTTTGCCTGTCTATCTCTGAGTTCGCGCCGCAAGACATTAGACATAAATCACCATCGGCGGCGAAATCTAAATCTTCTAGGATCTTTTCCGCGGTCCAGCGTATGCCCCTCTTCTCACTGCTCACGGTTTGCTGCATTTATAAAGGTTAAAATATTGCTGAAGTTTATGGTTCTTGAAACTTGGAAATATGGTCTAATAATGTGTATATATGGTTGTTCTTTGACTCAGAGCCTTAGTTGGAAAACGTTTCATTGCCATTCCAGACATCGTCATTAATAAACCAAAGCTTTGCAAAGGAGTGGAGCAATTGGATGTTTATAACATACTACTTTGCCTGAGCATGATGTTGTTGGCCACTTGGTGAGTATGCAGTCCTATGCCGAACCTGATTGGTTGGCTTCCTGCTTCTAGTTTCTTTAGAGAGGTGGGCAATTACATATTTGGTTGATTTCTTTGTTTGCTTGCAGTAAGCTGATACCGCATCATTGTGATTAGTCCACCCTTTTCGTTCGAATAAATTGATGAAGGGTATTTTGATCTGATTGGTTGACTTTCATGCATTAGAGTAGGGATGGTCAACGCTGACTGGTTGGTTTGTTCCAACTGGAAGCAGGACTTCCAACTCAATTATCATCGACCTGAATGCAACGTATGACCCCATTCAAAGCAAATCATTTACAGGAATCAATAGATCCAAACGCAAGGAACTGCTTGGCGTAAACAAGAAAGGAATCAATAATCATTTGGATCAAAATAACTCATGTACACCTCATCACACTCGTGTGCTTTACTAATCAGTACAAAAAGAGTCCTCTTTTTCAGTAGAATCTGACCAGTCAACAGCAGCAAACCGACCAGTCAGCCGATCAGAGGAAGGAAATCTTCATCAGTTCATTGGAACTAATCACAGTGAAACGACATCGACATATCACAAGTAAACTGAAGAAATCAACTGTTCACGTAGTTATATACATCACTATAGAAAGACTAAAGGCAGGAAGCTGACTAATCATGTTCAATGAGGAATATAAAGCCTGGAGAGTAGATATTAACGAATCTGCTCACTCTTTAGCCAACCTCTGCAAACCTGGAGTGAGCAGAAAGCAAAATGCAACCGTAAATTTGATCTCAATATAAGTAAATGTACAGCATTCAAAATTTGTCACATGGAACTTTGAGCCTTCAGAATGTTCCAGACTAAGTTCTTTTAAGATTAGTAGAAGACAAAAAAACTGTGCAACACTATCACACCTCATTAAAGGACTTGACGTGCAAATTCTGAACTGTCCAAAGAACCGCTAACATACAATTGGGGATGGAAGCTCTGGATTACGTTTTAGGTATGGTAAGCTCCAAGAGCTGGTAACAATTATAAAGTAAGCAGTAAAATGGGTACAGTTTGCTATGTACTCGTATGGAAATCATCAGTAACCAAAAATGGTCTTTTTCTGTTACAATGTGGATCAAACAGGTGAATTCAACTTTCGTTGGAAATGATAGTTAATCGAAAAAATAAACTGTAAATGATGGTGGTGAGGTTTGATATCAAAGCTTAGGGAATACTGAAGCATCACCCTAAGCAACAAGTCTTTTCTAGGCTGTAAGTACAACCTCGCCTGGTTAACTAGTTTACTAGCTACTAACCAGGCCTAAACCCGGAGAAAGAGGGAAGGTTGGGCATACGGCTAGCAACCCTACCCCGGAAAACCGATCCAATCGCTGAAAAAACTTCAAAGCACGAAGGAAAAATAAAATTAAACTTATTCCCCACTGGAATCGGAAAGACGAAATAACGCCAGCTGGTGCAAGCCTTCACAAAGCCAGTTGGCCGATGTGTCTTCTCTTCCCTTCTCTCGATGAAAGCAAAAGTAAGCATGGGGACATCGAATGTTCACAAAACGTTTGAAGCTGGTTGCCAAGGCTGCCCAGATTGCAAAAGAGATGAGAAGTTATGGCATGAAGTGCTAGAAATTTGCGAAATCAGATGGAATGGAGAGTCAATAGTCTACTCCAATATTGTCACCCAAAAAACAACCACCAGCACACTCAGTTTTCCAGTAGCCATCATGATGTCCCAAACACCATCCAACACACACATACTCTCTCTCTCTCATGCACTGGGAAACAATCTCCTCCTTCTGCATGATCAGCATCATGACAGCAAGGTTCAACTCAAAAGGAAGGGAGGTCATAATCATACAATGCTATGCTGTGCTATGCTATGCACATACAAATAATGCAGATGAAGAGAAGGAGGAGGAATTCTACAGACAACTGAAATCACTACCAGACAAGACTCCAGTTGGTGACATCAAAATTCATTCTGATGGGTGAGGTGACATGAATACCAGCCAAACTGGGAGTGGACAACACAGGCAGAGAACTCACAATGGGTCGGGAGACACCACTCAGTGAAATGATGAATGAGAATGGAGAAGTGTTTACAGAATTCTGCACATTCAACGATTTGGTGATTGGAGGCGAGGCAGTTTGTACAGACACAGGGATATTCACAAAGCGACATGGACTCGATTTCACCAGATGGACACACCGGAAATCATATCGACTTCATCTCAGTGGAGGAAAGTGGAGATGGAGATGCAGCCAGCCCACTGGACAAGAGATGAGATGAAGAAGGGGAGCAGATGTAGGTTCATACCCCTCAATATCTAGTACAAGGAATCTACCCTGAAAATCAAGTTGAGAGCCTGCAGAGAAGCTGGTGATAAACCAAAGTTCAAGTTGAACACCCAGAACAGAAAGTGAACTGCAGGACGAGACTACAAAGGACATCTTCCTATCAGTCAATAATCAGGGAAAGAAGGGAGACACTAGGCAACATCCCTGAAGAAACCTGTGTGAAAGAACACTGGAACTCTTTGGAAGCGGCGTGGAAGAAAACCTGCATGACTGTGTTAGAAAGGAAGAAGAAACAAGATAACGAATGGATCTCGACGGATACGTGGAAGGTGGTAGAGGAGGGAGAGAAAGATGGTGAAGTAGAAGATGAACCAGTGCAGTGTAGTGTAGTGTAGTGCAGGGATGAACAATGTAAAAAGGGACTGAGTACAACGTATAAAACACTACACTGAACAAAGAAGTGAAGAAGAATGCGCGCAAAGACAAAAGACAATTGTACAACACACTGGCATGTGAAGCAGCAAAAGTTGCAGGTAGAAGAGTCCTGAAAACACTATATCAAATAACCAGGTTGCTATCTGAGAGGGAAGAGATCAAAACAGATGGAACCAATGAAAGATAGTGAAGGAGACCTAGTTACCAAGGGGAGAGGAGAAACAAACGAAACGATGGGCTGACCACTTAAAAAAACTCTTGAATCGGCTCAACTGGACTGCACTGGATCATGCAACAAACTGTGAGGAGCGACAAAATGGCCATTCAATGGAAATCAAAAGCAAGCTGTCTCCTTCACTCACCTGTCTAGGCAGTGTTGTTTCAAGAACAGGCGGCGGTGGCACAGATGACGACGTCAAATCCGGGATCGGAAAGACAGTAAGACAGGTATTCTTCAATATGAAATCAACATAAAGCGTGAACATGATCCGGATTTTATACACTAATGTCAGTCAAGTAACTCAGTACTTCTATATGGTTCAGTGCAAGCTTGTGGGTAATTGTGGAGCTAGGTTGAAAAGACTGAAGAGAAGAGAGTGAAATGGGGACGTGCTACTGAAGCCCTATGCTCCACTAGGAATCCAATTGACAAATAATCATAAAAGTAGATCACAATTCTGAATATTTAGCGATTTTAATAAATGCATCAACATCCTGGGTCTTATGTTTAGGATAACACTCAGATATCTATCCATGAGCCTACACTGAACTCTTTCAGTATACATTAACATTGAAAACCAACCGTATAGACTGTGTTAAGAAATTCAATCAGGAATTCAGTTAGATAAAATAATTTCGTTGATTCAATATGAGATAAGAAAGGTTAACTTACCTGGACCTAAGTCTAAATCCCATTCAACATTATTAAACTTATTCATTCGTATAGGTTTATTTCTGTCATATTTTTCTGGGTGCTTGATTGTTGGCTCCAAAAGACTAACCTACAAAATTCACACACGACAAATACGAGAGAAACTAATAATAATAATAATAGTGACAGTAAGATGTAATTGTGTGTTTACTTTTTGGCTACTTATGAGTAGTGTAAAATTTATCGCAAAGTTTAGCCGACTCGCTCGAAAATATCACGAATTTTTGTCAGTCTTCAGTTTGTACTACACTGGTGTGAATTGGTATCACTAGACATACGAAAAAAACTACTTGTTCTGATTTCTTTTCTATAGTTCAACATCGATCATCCTAATCCAAACATGAATTCTTCAGGTACATAGAATTTTCTGAAAAACTGATAGACCCCAAGGCTACAACTTTTTTTTTATCTCAGCAGCCAGTTTTTTTAGTTATAGCATAACGAAGTTAGGCCACAAAGGCTAACTAAGTAGTCGAATTCAAACTGGTTCATAGACGGTTATAAAAACCACACTGAAAGTATGAAATTCGATATTTTATTGCAAAACACATACCAACTTGTTGGTTTGATGAACTTTGGAGAATGGAAAAGATATGTTAGATAAACAAGAAGAAAATGCATTTTCACTAATACCATCAGTTTGAGATCACCTAAGGTTGGAAACTACTGATTCTACTCGATATGAATGAAGTGACCAATCGACCAACACCCCCACTTCTTTAGGTTGATATTTATCGATGCAGTGAAATGGTGTCATGTTCTACTGTACTGAGGTTACTTTCAACCCATTTACCTATACTCTAACCAATATTGGTGGGCTGGATAGATAACAGGTATATATGATGAGTGTTTTAACTTCTCCAGTCAGCGGTGGTACAGAACTTTATCTTGTACCATTATCCCATATGATATGTGATTTACATAATTTGACACCCATCTCATGGTTAAATCCTGACATACTAGGCAACTGAATGAAACTGTGCCTTTATAACAGGAAATTAGACTAGCATCTGGCACCGTTAGATGCGCACATCTTTCAAAATGTTGATAAGAAGCAATATCGCTTACATTCATATACTCTGGATCTGTAGACATGAAACCTTCCGGATTGTCTCAAGTTTTGGTGTAACCTGAAATCTTTAATGTAATTCCTCTGTAAAAAAAACTTTTATCCTTTTGTATGAGCTAAGAGAAACAAAACTGTGAGTAGGTTGAAATGAATACATGGGTTAATATTGTGAAGCTTATTTCAATGTTCAGTTACAATATTTCACTCGTCATATTGACCAGCTTTCTTAAGAATTGATCGATCATTGAAGGTATTTTTTTGTAGATGATAGTCAGGTTAATATGATAACTGACCTAAATCTATTTATCGGCTTGAAACTGCAATCCCCAACGAGATGAAGAGAAAACGGCTTATATCTGGAATTTTTTTAATCAATTATATAGAAGGTATTTAACCGTCACTGAGCATAAAATGTCACTCGGGACAAACGTTTTAGTCAATAAAGTTAGTCAATCATAAAACATACACTTATAAGTGTAAATGATAAGCCTTTTAGGAAATAGTTATAGTCGGCAAATTTCGCTTCATTTGGGTCCACGACAATACTATTGACTCATTGAATATTCAACTTCTGCAAATGGTCATGTAGTAAAGAAAAAGATCGATATAGGGTCATTGAGCAGTAAAAATAACGCCCGAATTTAAAGTGGAAAATCTCACCTTGATTTTGTCTTCAGCGCTGACAGGAACTTGGTCGACAACCATGAGACGAATACGACGATCAAATGTATTGCGAACTTCAATTAATTGTTTAAACGTCATTGTAGCATTTTTCCCACCAGAGCCTGTACCCTCACGATATTTATATAGTGGACGATAGAGTATTTTTACACCATTCTCAGCGCCTAAATGACAACTGAACTCTTCTCCAGGGGCAACAGCACGTATTTCAGACTAGAGTAATGATGAGAAAGAAGAATAAAGATATCAAGGAACTTTTCGGAATATCTGACCTCTAAAACTTAAAATATGTATAGGTTATTATGGAATTTAAACTGTGCTTTCCCGCCCCTTCCGCTCCACTCCATATTATTTGTTTTTACCGCGGTTTAAGATACTAAGAGCTTATTGGTTCATTTCACACTTTTAATGCGCTACTTAGTTTTCCTTAGTCAAGGCCCTTTAAAAAGTATATAAGCAACTGAGCATTCAGCTACAATCATACTATTCAATTGAAGTTAATTTACTTTCAATTCCATCGTTTTTTTCCTCTTCTGGTGTCAATAGGATACTACGTTGAGAAGTTATTGTTCTATCGTTGGTCGTATCGCATCGCAGCACTTTATCATTCATGTTAACACTGCAGATCATAACAGAAACCAAATTTTAATAGAAATCAATTACATTTTATAGATTATTTGCGAAGTAGAATATCACTAGGAATGATCACAAAACTATTTCAATCAGATGAGTATTACAGGTAGATGGTGGGATAGTTGACAAGGCTATTTATAATCTGTATGATTAACTTAAACACGTCAGTGATTTTCAGTATTCACTTGTAAGGCGGTTTGAGTTCTTCATAAAAACCACTCATACAAAGCTGCATGAGGTGGAAGCTTAGACCTGAATCATCTGACTGTTAGCCCCAGTCCACGTCCTCTACTAGGCTCGAGGATGTTCTGTGTTCAACCTTAACAGATCTCATGGACCCAATCTGTTATTAAGTCACTGAACAACCTTTTTATTACTCACCAGTTTCAATATTTTTCCCAGAAGCTGGTCTGTTATGATAGGTCTATATTATCCAAATGAAATCGAAAAACACTTAACGGCTAAGTGCACGTTCGTGCAGCAGGCAAACAGTCACACATACTGGTTTTCTAAACCTCGGTAGCTGAAGTGTTTATGAAACCCGTGACCAGCTGACTTGAAACTGAGTACTTGGACTGCTGACCCTCAGTTGTTGTTGGGGCAATCAATACTTAATCCCTGTCGATATCATGGATGTACAAAAGAGATTTTCCCTAGTAGTTATTTGACGTATATCATCATTGTCGCATCTCCTTAACAGAGATAACAGTAGGTAAGTTTTTATATAATCCCAGCGTGTGTTTAGAAAATCGAAAACAAGATTTTTCTGAACAGTAGTTTCCATGGAATTATTGAAACTGCACATAAATGTCCCACATAAAGGGGAGCTTCATCATCTCTAAAGCTGAAATTCAACTAGTATAGGAGGATAAAAGCCTTTTCAAGCTGTTACCTTTAGTGATTGGAGGGGTGCTATCCCACTGTAACTAAATTACCCCACCCAGCAGTAATAATAACGCAGAGTAGTGACCCTGAACTAAAAAATATACTAACCGTGTTCATGAATCTCATTACGGTTACTGCATAAATTCAAAAGAGAGGCTAACACCCACCTTTTACTGTACAAAATCTTCCTAATGACACGCACAATATGTATAGTAATCATCATAATAATGACTGAAAAAACTTACTTTGCCAATAAATGTGTTGTCAGCATATATGTTGGTTGGACCAGCAAGAATAGAGAACTCTGTGTTATTAACAGCTGTAGCCTTTAAATAAGCATGCAGTGAACGCTTTGGTACAGTCACATATTCATAACGCGGTTGTAAGTCTAAGAGACCAACTGTAACACGATTCGGTTCATTATCACAACGAATCAATGTTGGGGGTCGTGGGACCTCCAACTGAAGTGTGGCAACTGTCCCAACAGGTGGAGCTGATGGAGATGGATTAGTTGGCACCAAGGTAGACTGTGAGTTCATAAGGACAGACGTTCTGTTCGCCAACAAAGGACTCGGAGAATTTACTGAGTTGAATAGCATACTTGATCCTAATGTACGCCTGGATATTTGTCGTGTATTCGAAGTGCGTAATCCAGTTGCATAAGCATTTTCTGTACTACCACCACGTTGAAGCGTTCCAACTGGTGTAATACCATCACGCTGAAAGGATAAACAATAGAGGAAATTGAATGCTGCCAACAAATCAGTAACTGTTAATAAACAATAAAGTTTTTATCTAATGTTTTATTGATACTGGGTAATGACTGAAGGTGAAATGCTAATTTGAGCCGTGGCAGGATTTGACTCAGCGACTACCGGGTCACCATTGCAGTATTCACTCTGGGTCGAATCCCATCAGTGCTCAAATTTTCAATCATCATCCCTTATAGACGTACATGTAGCCATATTCGACTAATCATGGTTCTCCATCCTGTACAATACTTTCGGGGGAAATATGGATCAGATAATATCTTTACCTAACAGGAAAAAATCGTCATTCACAACCGTTTCGACTTCACCAACATATTGGATAGATCGCAAATGGATTATATTTTGAAAAAAGGCTGACAGTGAAACTTCCACGTTAGACAGAATTCCATGGCTATGTGGTGAATATCATCGGCGATATATTTATTATTACTTATCCTTTGGGTTCCTAGTGGAGCATATATAGGGCTTCAGCAGCACGTCGCCATTTCACTCTCCTCTCTCCAGTCTTTTCAACCTCAATCCATCAATCCCCATAAACTTTCATTTCTTCCTCACACCATCTCCTCAATGTCATAATCGCCTCGGGCACCCAATTCGTCGTTTCCCATGCGGGTTCTACTCAGGAGTCTTGCCTCGTCAGTGATGTCTCCAATCAGTCTTCTTCCTTAGTGAATGTCCAGTCAAACCCATCTCCACCCTCTTCTACATATTTGTTGGTCCATAGGTTCTTGGTTTGTTGGTTCGGTGCCAGCCAGACAACCAGCTACAGTTCCTTCTTGCTTATTCTTGTCATTCTGGACATCTGATATTCAGTGTCAGTATTGAGTGAGTGTAGGTGGCAACTGTTGATGAATGTCTGTAGTATGTTGCAAATGATTTTCACAACACACCAACCCTATGAATTAATCATATAGAAGCACTGAGTTACTTGACTGACATTAGTGTATAAAATCCGGATTTTGTTCACGCTTTATGCTGAGTGTAGTGTAATGCAGTGCAGTGCAGTGCAGTGCAGTAGATTTCCACACTGATTTCATATTGATGAAGACCTGTTTTACTGTCTTTCCGATCCTGGATTTGACGTCGTCATGTGTACCACCACCACCGCCTGTTCTAGGAACAATGCTACCTAGACAGGTGGGTGAAAGAGACCAATTCCTTTAGATTTCTCCCGTTCATGGTGATTGTTGTTGGTTGGTTGGTTGGTTGGTTGGTTGTGTATCTTCATCACCTCTATCTTCGCTACGTCCACCTGAAGGAAGTCCCATCTTCCTTCGCTGCCTCACCTCTTCTGTCAACTTGTTGGACTTTGCCTGTAGATCTTCGAGTTTGTGAGACAAGACATTAGACATAAATCATGATCGGGGGTAAAATCGAAATCTTCTTGTGGTGTGGTGTGTTTTCATCGGTCCAGCCAGTGAATGGTCATTTTGTCGCTCCTCACAATTTGTTGTGTGATCCAGTGCAGTGCAGTCCAGTCGAGTCGAGTCGACCACAATCAGGAAGATCATTGGTGATAGTAGTTAACCTTGATTTCCATACAGTTAGTTGTAATTTTATTGTGCTTTGTTGGAAATTAGTAGCAGGGTGGCTACCTACAATCGGTATGACAGGTTAACTTGCAGCGCGGTTTTACTCATATCAGTAGCAACCTTCATCAGCACTTCATGACGAATAGTCATCATCCAAAAAAGTATTTTGTTTCAAGAATATCAGTTATCTGGAGAGAAGAACTATTCTAAATCAGAAAAGACTAGACAGTTACTTCACCTTCGTACTTCTGTTATCCTCCTAGATCGAATCCGTCATCTTCATTTGGAAAATCAGTCAATCATAACAGCTTCAGTGATAAGCATAAGGTTATATAGGAGCTTTTTGGGCATAGTACTACGTCCATCGTGTAGGGAAATGAATTCATAGGACATGGGATTACCATATGTAATGAATCTATAAAAATATACATGGGGTTAAATAAATAAACTAACGAATATATTCAGAGTATACTACTACTTAACAACTTGAGTAGTTAGAAACCTGTAGATTTCATCAGTCCTGTTGATACTATAGCTGAACATTTGAGAAACTACTCAGCTGTAAGAACTGTCTACATGAGCTGTTAAATTTGTCAGTCATTCGTAAGCTGATCATTCGAAACATATTCAGTTTATTCACTTCTTCCTCAATGAACAATGAGCGATCACACTGATGAGACACATCTTAGGCAAGGACAAAATGTCAACTTAAAGTGTATCCACCTGTATTGAACCCTAGGATAGGATAAGATAGGATAGGATAGGATAGGATAAGAGAGGAGAGGATGCAGTGAAAATCTAATTCATTCTCAGTAATGTTGGTAATGGCAACACTTCAAATTTGCTAGAAAAACCATCCCTTGTGATTAGAACAAATATCCTAACACACAGATATCCAGCCCAGTCTAGTGATCTGATTTGCTGGACAAATATGGGAGCGGAAGGTAAGGAAAGGAGAAAGCAAGAGATAAAAATAATCGGGTGAGGCATAGATAGTCAACTGCTATCAACAACATCGCTCACGGTGATCCAGATAGAAGACGTTTCAGAAAAGGAGTGGATATTACTTCGACAAGAAAAACACACAACCGTATCAATAGTCTAAGTATTAGTTTACATTCAGTGTGACCAGTTTGTATGATTTGAAGGCAGTTTTCATCCTAGATTATTATCAACTGGGAAGGAATCCGAAAACAAAAAGTGGTAAATGTCTGCCGCATATACTGGGTCGGTCCTTGCAACAAGCACATCGCTGTTCACGAACTTTTGACACTTTATGACAGCTATCGAGTGACGTCAATGGATATCTCTCCTCCCAACCGACTTAACCAAACGCACAGGTCATTGCTTATTGTTACAATTTCACGAAACCTATCTCTAAGTCGGTGAATAACGAACACTGAACTTGTCTGCTTCTAAATCGAATGGCTTTGAACTACATCTCGTACGGGGTTGTGGAACTGCACTGCTGAACACTCTGAAACCATAAGGAGACAACTGTACAGTGTTTCCTCGTCCATGACAGCTCTCTAGTTAATGTCAATCTATTATAAAAACTAACTTTGAAGTGATTCTATATTAATCTTGGTGGTTAGCAGTAGAATCCAGGATACGCGTTTCGTCCTATTCAGGACTTGTTAGCTCAATATACAAGCACCTCGGTGAGTGATATCTTCCCCACTGAGACTCGAACTCACTGCCTAATTTCTCACAAATCACTCAAGTGGTCATTTTTAGTTGGTTTGAAAACCTAACAAAAAATATGCCAAACTCTTATGACATCTAAAAAGAGGAAACTCTTATACACAACAGCCTCATTCAGCAACGAATGTCTTGTAGGGAAAACTTGTTCAGTCATAAGTACTGAATATTTGGCATAAGCCATAAATAGACAGCGGTTTACAGCCTTATAATACAAACATTTAACCAAATAACAACCAGCAAACAAGCCAAAAGACCAGAAGAGTATTAGACTGTGAGTCAAATGAAACATCTAAGAACAGCTGATGATACTCATCTGACTATCCAGATCAAATCTGGCAGCATAAGTAAGAGCTAAGCTCAGGTTAGCCAATTGACAGTGTATGGGCAGAAGACCAAATTCACAGAGAATAGTATTTACTACACTGTTTTACTCTATGATGGAAAAAATTAGTCAGAAACTACCTACAGTCGAGTTTTTAGCATTTCTTCTGACATAAGCTTGGCTAGATGGAAAAGACTGTAGAAAATCCTACTTCTGATAAGTTAAAACACTATACTCACCTACTACAACGTGGATATAGGGATCCTTTTTCAATCCTCAGCCGCGAACTGAGCTAGAAAACATGTGTTGTAGTATTCAGCATTTTAGACAGAAATCACACTGATGTATATGCAGACATTACAAATCCCGGAAACCTCATGAAGACAGTCGAAACAACTTTAAATGCATGCCATTCAAATATACTAACAAATGTCCTATAATTAAGAAAGCGGTGAAAAGTTGTTAGGTCCGAAACTACGCCTCATTCTTCTACAGATCATCCCAGTATTTTTTGAAACCAAACAGCTCTTATCCCAAGGTATACGTCAACGATAATCAATACTAACAAGATCACTCTATCAATACGTTTCACAAACATAAAATTACAACGTTCTCCAATTCTGAAACTAAAGTTTTCCGGTTGAAAATAGAGGTTATCATGAAAGTTATTTTGTTTTGTTTTGTTAATTGTTTCCTCTCAAGATTCAATTGGCGGGAAGTTCTGTTTGATTTTAGACTTCCTATTTGTTCACATTCATCAGGGATCTTGATAAAACTCATATCCCCTGGAAGATGAAAACTAGCATCATTCAGTGCCAAAGTCAGAGACTTATTCAGCAAGATAAGTGCCTGGCTTTCTATCTACAGGACATAGTGTACTGCATTACAGTGAAACAGGTTACCTACTGGTTGTATTATTCATGTGTTCAGTGTGCTTCATTTGGCCCTTAGAATTCGACATATACTTTGATTATTTCTCGTTAGCCACGTCATGTTTGTTTTCTTATCACTTATACTTGACTTTTTCGGGTGGCTTACGAGGCTGGTAAGTTTAACATGAGGATAAACCTTAAGCACTTCTGATGTAGTAGTGTGTTCGATATTTTGTGTTTAACCTCATTTGCTGCTTCATCTGATATACCTTTTAAAGCTGGTTCGTTTGCAGGTGCGACTTCAAAAGCTGATAGGCTTGGTTTGTTCAGACTAAAATTCAAACCCTTCTGAATTATCCAAACCTTAAGTGCATCAACATAGAGTCCGATTCCATTTTCGTGGGTCAATCAGATATAGCACACATTGGAACAGTGTTATTTACTGGATTAATAATACTGTTTACGATGTAATATATCTGATGAACAGCACACTTAGTGTGAAAACGATGCTTATTCATCTAGAAAACACTCAGAAATGCAAGACATTAAACTAGGAATCCACTATCGTCGAGAATTGTCATTGGAGAGCAAAAACGTCCTATTGTCCCAATAATTCAAGATATTAGGTTTCAGTCTGAACGACAAGATGACTGAACTGATTGAAATTTAAGCAGGCGCCAGGATTCCTTGTTGGTAGCGCTGAGTATGAGAAGCACGCATCACCTGGCCCAGTGGTATACGTTTATGCATAAACCACACGTGTAAAGTGTTACTGGTGAATATCTCAACAGTCTATGGTTAGGCTGCCTGTCTCTAATTCTTATACGGCACAACTGAAAGAAATTTTCAATTCATACAGATACTAAAAAATTCCTGATGAATACTAAACAAAAGAGGAAAACACCTGCTCTAATTCTAAGTAAAATTCACTCTACGAAAGATATTATTTGATTTCACACAAGCATCTAGGAAGTAAAGCTAGTACCAGGTAAATAATTGGTAGCTTCTTCGAATTCAGTTATCAGTGATATGGGTTCCAAAATACAAAGAAAAAGTACTTCTTTTAAAGCTACAGATACTATTAACTAATAACGAAAGTCAAACCACTTGAAGGCCGCCTGCTGATGCATCGTAGTGTCTCGTTGCGGTTTACATTGCTGGTCACATCACAAAGTTAACTGGCAGATCTCGACTAGTACAATGCAAGCTAGTATGTTGACTACCTTGGCAGCCGAAAATCAAGCTAAATCATACAACTAACATCATCCATAGCGTATTTTAAAAATCTGAGGAGTTTTTACTTAGAATGATAGATAAGTCTGTAATTTCCATCGCCTTTCAACCAATCAATATAAGAAACATTCACTTTGAGTTACTGAAAAAAGTTAGCATTATATATATATATATATATATATATATATATATATATATATATATATATATATATATATATATATATATATATATATATATATATATATATATATATATATGAGTTCAGTGGCTATGCGCACCTGAGCTAAAGTACGCAGTGTTTCACGGGATTTCGATCTTGGATATGGCCTATTTCGACGTCCAATCGATGAACTATTCACAGTAGATGAAGCCATGCTATCACTTCGTCCAAGCGTAGAATATTGTTCAACTGAATTATCATACGGTATAGTGAGATGATCATTCTCATAAGCCAGTGAATCATTTAACCCTCGGAGCATAGTATCAGGGCGTCGAAGTGGTGGTGTTTGATAAAACACAGCTGCATTCTCTGAAACACGTTGGGAATAACGTGGGATTGTACCTGCAGATGGTAGTTGTGATGATGGCTCTGTTAAATTAAACTTCTCAGTAGACTGACATTGACGGTTAGATTCAGGTGACTTCCTGGTTGGTTGGAAAGGAGTACAGATGAATGATGATTTCACACCACAAGAGGAATAATAGAAAGATAGTATGCTTTACTGTTACATTACCAGATATGAGTGTATTGGTGTGTGCATGAGTTAATGTTACTTGTTGATTAGGTTAATCGGATACATACTTGTGAATCAGACAGAAGCAAATGTGCGAAAACACTTCACATGCAAACACAAACATACTTTGGAAAGCAACAATGAAATGATACCACCCTTGAAAAGAAGGAAATGTACGCAGAGAAATTAATTCGCCTTTGAAGTTTAGTTAGAGCGCGATAGCGATTTAGGTATACAAGTTTATTTTTGTATCAGCCCAAACACACAAAAAAATTAAACAAGCACAAATCAAAGCAGAACAAGGGAATGAGAAAGCAATCAGTATAGGGAAGAATAAAATTAATAAAGACAGAAGAAAACAGAAAGCACTGACCGGTGAAAATTATGTTAGTCTAGTTTCTATACTCTACATATAACACCTTCAACAAAATTATTCATACGCAGAAACCTTGATGGCTAACTAGTCACCTGTTACCTTAATAGTCGATTAATTCCCCAATAAGAGAAACCCCTTCGTTGCTTATCGGTTTAAAATAGTGACAATCTATACAACACGAATAACCTTACCTCGTTATCAACAGATCCACGATCTGTTTCGTTTAAACTGGTCGTAGCTGTTCGGTTACATCGTCGAAATCCGCCTAGTTTAGCGCAGGATCGAGCATTTTTGCCTGTTGCAGAAGTACCACCAGTTAGTGAAGCACTAGCAATTTGGTGTGTTGTCGCTGCTGCTCCTGTTAATCCACTGGCACCACCACCACCACCGCTGCCTGCTGCTACTCCTCCTGAGCCTGATATGGCGTTTCGTGATACAGGGATCGCTGGAGAATGACTATATACATGTACAATGAATGGAATTATCAAAATATTGGACAACAAATCATATGGTTTACGTCATTAAAAGTGATTGTCATGCAGGCATAAAATGTCAAATATAGTGGTACATGGTGGCTGTAGTGATTGAAATGTCGACTGACTTCATTTTAACCTTACGTACGGAGGGAATAAGTGTGAACGTATCGGAGCTGCGACTCAAATACACCTGTTTACTTCGAATGAAAAGTTGATCACGCACTATGCATCCATGTAAAACAAGAGGTGTGTTGTACAGATAACAGCTTGTACATCATTAGTTTGCCTATTCCATAAACTAAACCAGTCTCGATTAACTTGATGTGCAGTTAGTCACTCAGTACCTCAGCTTCATACACATATTCCAACCACAGAAATGTAGCTCAGTGGAAAAAATGAAAACCTCAAATGGAAGTGAAATCGAAGACCTTGACACGGATAACCTCAAAATGACGGTGAAGCTGAGAAAAGCGTTTGTCTCTGAGGTTCAGCTATTCTACTTGTCCAGTCAGTACTGTATTGAAGAGGTTAGAAAGTCACACATGAACAGCCATTCTGACATATCTACTCCCGATGATAGCACTAACCTTCTATTGTTCCTTCTGTTTTTATTCTGGATTACGCTTATATCAATATGGATGTTGACCAGTGCTCAGTTTGAATACTGAATCACCTAAAGTGACTTACAGACGGTGAAGCGCACGCATAAAATAACTCAAAAATATCCTTTCTTCTTGTCAAGTTGTTTCTGTATAATGTAACAGACAAAAATACATCACGTTGTTACTGGGGTTTAAGTGATGCTTTTAAAAAGAAGATATGATGAAGCATCACTTCACCTGCAACTTGTAGCGATTTGCAAAGTTGCCTTCGTTGATAATGTGAACATATAGAAACTCAGTCAACCACCGAGCTGTTCAAATACCAAGGGTTATCGACAATCCTTTATTGTCAACAGTTTCCCTCCGAACTTTATTCTATTACCAGCGGCAAGTTAGAAAAACACTTTTAATCAACTTAAATAAGCATTACCAACTTCAAAATAAAAGCATGGACGAAATTCCGCAATTTCCCATAACACAATTGTGTCTATTAAGTAGCATTTGTATAGATTTATTTTTGTGTCCTGTGAAAATATGAAACTAGGCTGTTATTACTCTATGGATTTATATTCCTTGCCCCCTTCTCCATCCCTCATTTCCGTCAGCGATGGGCGTATCTAAGGGTTTTTCCCGAATCTATCTTCTCCAGTGAATTAGGTGTCTTTGAACAAGTTGTTCATCTAATTCACTAGTACACTTCTTACCTTATAATGATGAAACCGGTTTCATCCGAAGATTGACTAAGTATCGCACTGTAGTGTTGTTTTCCGTGAATACACCCAAGGTGGATCAGTTTTCACTGGTTTAAGAACGTCGAGGTCGAACAGCACTGAGTGTTGAAAGGCCGATTCGTCCTCTCCACTATCCCTTTACACTGGTAAACCGTGGTTACATCCATCTGAGTTCCAAAGACTGCTGACAGCTGTGAGACTAACCTTTTGAAAGACTAAGGTTATATTACTTGTAGGGTGAATAGTTTTTTCTGCTCCTGTCAGTCAACCTGCCGCATATCCGACGATGTCTTAGTTTTAAAAGTAGCTAGGTCTGCTGAGTATTTGACCAACAAATAGGTGTCTTTGTATACAGAAATCACTGCTGAACTTAAAAGCAAGCATAAATCATGACCAGGGTAGAAATAACAGACTCATGCTTCCCGCTCTACTTCATGCTATCACCAAGTAATTTGAAAAAAGATATATCCAAAGGTTATAACTAGTTAAAATAAATGTTAGGATGCATTGAATTTTACAATAATAAAAAACAACAACAACTGAATTAACTCAGAACTTCTGTTATTGTGTTAACCGTCAGTTAAAGCATAGGCGTTAGTACACCAAGCAACTTCCCGACAAAAAGGTAAAGATGATAGATGAAATAAAATATCAGTAAATATCATGAAAAAGATGATGAGGATGATGATATCATTATTATTCCAAACAAAACCTCACACACACAGACAAACACGGGAACACGCCAGGTTTCTCATGTATGGTAAACTTACTCCCTGCGAAAATGTACTCGTTGGACACCTAAATGTGGAACTGTACCACCTATTCCAGGTTGTGCGGTGGATAGGGTCATGTAACGTGTCTCCCAGTCTTCACCGGTAGATTGCTGTACCATACCATAATAAACAATCTAAAATGAACAAAAATAAGCGTAAAGTAGAAATGTACTGAATACAGAATTGATATTTGATCACTATTACACAATCAAACAATTCATACTTAGAGTTGAAGTCTACTGTATGTATACATTTCAGGTGATCATATCCATAGCCTGTATACTTGTGTGTGAACTTGCACTATTCTAACCACCCAACGCTGAAATTACTATTAGTTGATACACTTGTAAACCACAGTTGTTTTACTGGATCAAATTGTTCGACCTCTGTTCGCATCCGCAAAGGAGCTCATATGCCAAGTTGGAATTCATCATGGATCGAAATCAGCTGGAGGAACATTGGAAACCTGGGAGCATTGAACAGCTGTTTAGCCATAGTATGGGACTCCTCAGCAGTGCGTACCCATAACCCCGCATAGCCAGGGACCGAACCCAGGACCTTTATGTTTCATGACCAGCACGTTGCCATTGAGTGAATGGGTTGGAATTCAATGGTCCATATTTCTAACTTCTATCAGTTCACGAAATAACGCGACCATCGTTGAGTATTTGTCCTCATGACCACCAGATTTTCCCCACCACTAACTGCTTTGGACACTTTACATTCACACAATAGGTACTGATGGCAAATGCATCTCAGTCCATTTGAACCTAAACACATGGATAGTATCATGAGTAGTCCCCTTCACAGATAGGTACTGGGCTAAATTATTTCACGTGAGTAGTTACTTGCATTGCATTGTGAATGACTGCTGTCATCCAACAGCCTACTTAACAACTCTTTGGTATCTAAAGCTATAGGTTTGGAAGTCGTCGGAGAGTAACCGACTTACTTGTCAAGTACTCAGTGCCTAGTGCTGAGTAATGCATAGTATTGCAGTATCGCATCTCTGAGCTTAATGATCCGCCAATTTGTGTAATTTTTTCCGTTCTGTAGGCAGTCAGTCATGGTGCGAATAGCTCATCGGTCAAGTCTTTAACTTCAGCTAGCATCCAACACCTAGTCACTTCACAACTATCGTTTGATATGCCTTGTGGTACAAATTCCATGTTCCGTTTGATTCTCATGACTGGAGAACGTTTCTGTGCATAGATTATCAAGAAATAACTTTCACGCTGTCAGTCTGAAACTCACGGTTTGATGAAATGAAACTAATTTTCAACCATTTGTCATGTGACAGCAATTCTTGAGACGAGCGCAATCGCGTTCGCCTTATGACTCAAATAACACGCACTTGACCAATCATATACACAACCAGTCTCATTCAGGAAGCTCTGCGCAAGATACTGAACGTCAGTCTAGCTATTGAATAAATGTATCAACTGAAATATAATGCTAAATTTATCCTTTGCCTCCTTAAACGTCATAGTTGGATTAGGATATCAGCTGGCTAATGTTTGAGTTTATGTTGATCACTTAACATATATCGAATTGCCACGCTAATACATACTTTGAACTTATTGATAAATTGTCGTCTTACCTGCTTCAAACTTCTTTTACCAATCTACAGATTAGCCTCAGACGTTTCTAACTACTCAAACCATTCAACAGTAGTTAATTTCGCTAGTTCATGACACTTTTGTGTCAGAGATCACAGTTTGTGATCTCGGTCAGCTAGCCGGATTGTAGTGATGTGAAGCAGTTCGTTTGTGTGAGCTGAATTCGTCCTATCACAACGCTGATGAGCTCAACTGCAAACGAACGAAACAGTTGTTTGGTTTTTGGATCACTGTGATCTGGTTGGTGAAATCTACAGATCAGCCTGAATGCTTTCTAACTACTCAAGTTGTTCAGTAGTATATTTCACTAATCTGGGTTTTTTTTGGTGAGATGCGATTCCAAATATAAATGTGAACACATACACAGGTGTCAGATGTAATATCAGCAGTAAAGCCTACCAAGTTACCAGACCATAAATGCCGAGGTTAGTTCTTTGAAAACCAGAGTACGTGAACGTTCGGGTTGGCGTGTTTATGCGTATACACACTCCAACTCATAGTTGTGTGCCAATCTGTTATCTTGAGAAGAACATGATTTTAATCACAGTATAAATAATTATTATTTGTAGATATGCTTGTAATTTTCCGTTGTTTTACTGAATCGAATTGTTCTACCTCTATTGACATGTGGGCTCCTATGCGGATGCCTCGATATTGCCTGAATACTAATCATGGTAACTTACTTGGTTGTGGCTAGCAAAGGAATCCAGGGTACGAGTTTCGTCCTATTCAGGACGCGTCAGCTGGATGTATCTACAACCGAATGAATATTATTGCTCCGTTATTTTACTGGATCGAGTTGTTAGAAGAATTACAAGCACATCAATAAAGAGTAATAACTAATACCCGTAGTACAGGAAGTGGCTATCGTTCCTCCGTGGCCTAGTGGGCAACGCTTTGGCATTTGGAGCGATGGGTATGAGATTCGAGTCTCAGTGGGGACGACATCACTGACTGGGGTGTAGGTACATTCCGCTGATGAGTCCGGAATAGGATGAAACGCGCATCCTTAATTCCTCTGCTAGCCACAACCAAGTAAATTACCGTGAGTGTAAATAATTAGCCGAAATGAAATCACAGTTTTCTCTTCTCTTGAGGAGAAATTGCCACTGATGCTATAGGTGTGTCCACTATGTGTACGTGATTCTCACCTGTTCCATCATTCGTTGGATAGATTAAAAATAATTCAGTTTACATCTGTGTCCCAACGACACATTTACGATGAAAACACACTAGTCTATTGAAGTTGCTTTTTTGTTCTCACCCATCTAGGAATTCTCTTCTCATTTCACCAAAGCCGATGAACCAATCAGATTTCCATCGTATTTTGTACGCAGAATTGCAAAATTGGTGACTATTTGTATTGATACTTGTCATCTTGTCATCCAGTGTAACTGAATGGAAATGGTCAACCTCTGCTAGCAGATGGGCTTCATTATGAAGGCTTTGATACCAGCCGACTATCCACTATGTTATAATTTTGCTTAGTGTAATCCAGGACACTCGTCTCGTCCTATTTCAAACTCATCAGTTAGATGCACCTGCATCCCAGTCAGTGATATTGTTCTCTCTGAGACTCGACACCCAGTACCCATCGCTTCAAAGGCCGAAGCGTTATCCACTAGGCCACTGGCGAACGGGAGACACCTCTTGTGCAATGCGTATCAGTCACTGTTCGCAACGAAAACCTGGTCATTATTTCACTTTGTTACGAATGTCCTGGAAGAAGTTGGGCGCCGAGTCTGATTGAATCATTATAAGAACATATTTTAATATAATCCCAGCGTGTTTAGTAAGAACATTATGCCAATCATAAAGAGCCTGATGACATACTTCGAGTGTTTGAAGTGAGTGCAAATTATGGTAAACTAAGAAAGCAACCTGAAAGCAGTCTTCATCATGGGATGAGGAACCACTGGATACCTATTTCATCCTAGTTTGGTACTCTTCATCAAGTGCAAACCCATAGGTCACATAAAAGATATCTAATTAAGTAGTATCAGGTATCGCATTGCCATTCATTTATCCAAGCCTACCACAGGCCTTTACTTACTATGAGAATCTGAAGTTTACTAACTGTTCCAGGTTGAAAATGCTTCGTGGCTTAGATAAACTCTGTGTTCTGCTTTCACTAGGTATCTGTCACTTTCATCGAAGATATTATTTGGAATAGTGAGATGAGAGATGATTTTTTATTACCGTGTTTATGAGTTTGTAAATTCGATTGCGGTCGGTTGTTCACTATGCAAATAAGTTAGCTGCCCATTCTGAAACGAGTTAGGGAGAGTGGGGAAGTCTTCACTTACTGAGACCGTTTTCAGCTGTCAAAATGAACCTTTTCAGTCTATTTTTAGATGGCTGAAGGATGAGTATCTCATTTAGCCGAAAGATTATATCAAACTGGGAAGTTGGTGTTACTTGCTACATGTAGATACCTGCACATCGAAGCGTCCAAAGTCTCTATCGATTGTCAGTAATAAGCTACTTCAGCCTTATGGCTGTGTTATTTTCTTAAGTCAGTAGCCTGTGGTCAGCGTTAACAAGTGAAGGACAGATTACAATTACATTTAGTAGTCACTAGAGAGCAACTAATCTCATGTTATCTAGCCCTGATGACCGCATGGTAAAATGACTGAAAGAATCTGGTCAGCACTGGAGATTAGATAACATGAGATTAATTGCTCTCCAGTGACTAATCAGTCCATATAATCCAGTCCTACAGGATGTTGGTTGTGACTAGGGTAACTAAGGAGTAACGTCGATGATTCCAGCATTAGATAATGCAGGTCCGAATCTCAGGTGGGACATCTGTAACCTCGAGGTTGGAGAAACACCTTGTTGAGGAGTGCCAACAAACACGAAAACTAGAGGTAGGACTTACTGCTAATATCCTCTAACCAACTAACACTGACTTAGTTGTTTACGCTAAACAAATGTTGTGCGTTTAAAATAATGAATAGTTTATTGTTCAAGCTTTCAAGCCAACAACACTTACCTATTTGATAAGCTACATTTCAGTCGAAAGTTTGTTAGAATGTATAACTTTTGTAAATGTACACTTTCCACTGACTGACTCAGTGACCAAATCAACTTAGAAGCTTGTACACAGGTGCATCGGCTCAAAATGCAACATTTTAGAGAAGTATACAAAGAAAAGGTGGATGTCAAAGAAGATAAAGTAGTGGGAGGGAACAAAACATCTGAAGATAAACGACAATGTGAATATTCAAGCTTTGCAACACGTCAAACAATAATTACATCTACACCATTGTCATCAATTCCCAACTATGTCATCAAAAGTCAGTCCTCAACCACTGATGATTTCTTTCGTCTCCAGGATCCCACTCACATCGTCTACACCACCACATACAACTCACAACAACAGTCAGACACTACATTGATTGGTGCCACATCTCAGTCTGGTCACTATCAACACTCTTCCAATCTAGTCCAACTTCCCCCTATGTGGCAAGTCGAGGAAGGTGGTGACTCGGCACGCGCAACACATGTTCAAGCCACCTCAGTCGACTGGTGTTCACAACCTCATCAATCGACTTGTCAGCCTGTCTTGCCTAGTATTCTTTGTCTGACCTCACACAACATTTCTCCTACACTGATTCCACCAAACGCAAGCAATGCAATGAAGAGATCTGTGATCTAAACCCTATAACCTCTTCGTGTCGTCTACTTTCAACGGCCATATCTTACAGTTGTACAACGGGACAGAGTGGACTGCAACGCAATATACTCGTCCTTTGATTGGTAGTCAGATATCTCACCAAATGATGCCAGAAATGATGCAATTTGGAATATTGTCAAACAGGCCTTCTGTATCCAAGGTGAGATTTCGTCAACAACCAGCCTATAAGGTCCGATGCAACTCCCCAAGTAAGTGAAGTGATTGACGCAATCCACCACTTTGTTCTTTATCATTAAACTGGTAGTACTTACAACAGGCTAGTCCTGGATCATCATCTTACATTTGACACGTGACTATGAAACGCAATCTAAACCTAAATTTCTGCTCAACGAGTTCAGGAGACTCTGCATTTTGTCATTGTCTGGATACTCCAAGCCGACTAAATGATCTTCAGGGTGTGGGTCAATCCCTGTGAATTCAGATGTGCCTAAGGTTATGTCCATCACTACATCTATGACGAAGTTAAATAGGAACGGTGACAGAGGACATCCCTGTCGGATATCACTAATTGTCGTCAATTCTGATGATAACTTTCTATTAGACCTTATATGGCTGCCCGAGTTCAAGTAGACAGCGTTGACTAGTATCAAGAAGATTTCTCCCTCTTCTTACAGACTGGGATTTTGAATGAAGTACATCAGTTTGACGGTCTTACTTCTGATTCCTGCACACTACCTAGTAACTTCATCACTTCGTCACCTCCATCCTTGCAAACGTCAACTGGCATACTGTTAGGTCCTGCTGCTTTGCATCGTTTCTCGTTCAAGATAGTCTTCTCAACTTCAATGAGAATTGGAGGACCAATATATAAGTGCCATTCAGGTTCAGGCTGTATGTTGGAGAAATCAAGCGTTGATGGTAACCAGTTGAAATGTGCTTCAGAGTGTTCTGTGCAACCTTGTAGCCTCCTATCCTGGTAGGTTATCAGCGTTCCATCCATTTTTGGTGATGGTTTCGCTAACCATCGTGTTCTTGCTGGTTACTTTAATAAGCCTAAATATTATCCGAGTGTTACCCAACGCTGATGCCTTCTGTATCTTTCTTGTTTTGGTCACCCACCACTGCTCTCGATCATTACGAAGACACTTGGTTCTTGAGCAATCAATAAATAGTATAATTGTCTTTAAGCATCGACATCGGTCACAAATCTACAGCATTTTGAAAATGCTAACCGTTAGATTCTAACGCAGTGATTGGTTGGCAACATGCCATCACACGGCTTGGTGTTTCCTCGCTAGATATTTCACGGGATAGTGGATTCACACTGCTAAAAGAGTCCCAAATTATGAGAATATAACTGCCCAGTGCTACCAGTCTTTCAAAATTTCTCTAGCTGTGATTAAAACTTCTTTGTATAACTGATCAGCTTTTCAAGATGAATCAACAGTAATTGTTTGTTCAGTGGTTGCAGGTATTTGGCAGGAAGCTAGCTATGGATAGTCCAACTCTCATGTTTGTCTAAAATGATTAAAAAGGTATATCTACATCCTAAAGTCGACTGATGCTCATTCACAGATTCAAACTTGAGTTACCGAGGTTTTCGACTAGAACCGCTACCACTGTGGATCACACGAAATACGGAATATAGTCCACCTCAGTGCCCAATTGGATATATCGAGTAGCCAGTGAGAAGTCAATAGTATCATGTTGTCTAGTGTTAACTGATGACTAAAATTACACCGACCAAGTCTGTCAAAATTTTCAAATGTCTAAAAGTATAACCTCCTCTTCCTCTTCACCGTGGTAGAGAAGAAACTGAACTTGCCTTCATTGTCCCATCATTATTGAAAATGCGTATATCGTAGGCTGGTTTCCATCCACATCGACTGACCACATAAGAGACAAGCATCTCAACTTGACCAGTTTCCCTCGGTTCAACAAGTACACTCAATTCTCTAGAATTAATCAATAAAAAATAAAATTATTTAGGTTAAATTTTTCTCAGTTGGTATACTTTGACAAAAATCCTAAATAGAAATGAGGAAGAGATATCAATTTGTGGATAGATTATGCACGGATAGTGGCTAGCAGTGGAATGCAGGATGCCAATAACAGCCGACAGGTTCAGTCGATTTAACGACGGAGGTGTACAACCCATAACATCAAGAAAACCATGTTATACTCGTCATACAAGGAGTGGGTATCAAAATTCACTGACCAAGTAGACAACACTCTGGTGTTTGAAACAATCAGTCTGGCATTCGATTTTAAATGGGGAAAACATCACTCACTGAGAGGCTGACACATGCAGCCAAAGAGTCTTAGACAGGACGAAACGCATGTCTTCGATTCCACCTCTAACCACTACCCAGTATTAGTATCTAAACTCACAACCCCTATGAAATATGTAGTCTTACATACAACAATCCTAAGTATTTCAGCTATTCTTAACAAAGCAAAAAGCAAGATGGTATAACACATTAGATATTTCAGTGAAATAGATGATGAAAAAACGTGGTCTGGTACAACATGTGAATATTTGTTCTCCATACAGTAACCTTGTACAAATGATTGAGGTGAAAATGTGAAAAATACGGTTTTTGACCAAGTGAATTACCATATCAATTAAAGCTTGAGTAACTACGGCTTCACACCAATCCCCTTCAAATATCAATTGCTTATTTTGGTTTTCGATTACTCTTGAATCAGCTTATGCTAATGAATGCAATGAACAGTATATAACCGCTTAAGAGAACTTGACAACCAGAATGAGAAGACAATTTCATCCAATCGATATCGAACTTACCACTTACCTCTGAACCAACTTAAACAGGTGATTGCTTCATCAAACAACCACATTTTTAATTAACGTATTTCAATTAAGATCTCATTAATCAGAACAGTCATCGTTTTATGGAAGAATCACGATTACTTACTATGGTATAAAGACAATATTCAACTAAGTTTTTGATTATTTTTTGCTAACGTTGTTATCCTTCATTTAAAGAAACGGAAAACAGAGAATAGTAAGTTTGCAACGCACATATGAGCAATCAGTGCTTTCAGCTTAGATAAGTTGATAGATAAATACATTTTGGGAATACCATTACTATAACAGAGTGGTGATTAAATGTTCACACACATGATACATCCAGTTTATATATAGTTATTATTGTCCTTTGGATTCCTAGTGGAGCATATATAGGGCTTCAGCAGCACGTCGCCATTTCACTCTCCTCTCTCCAGTCTTTTCAACCTCAATCCATCAATCCCCATAAACTTTCATTTCTTCCTCACACCATCTCCTCCATGTCATAATCGCCTCGGGCACCCAATTCGTCGTTTCCCATGCGGGTTCCACTCAACAGTCTTGCCTCGTCAGTGATGTCTCCAATCAGTCTTCTTCCTTAGTGAATGTCCAGTCAAACCCATCTCCACCCTCTTCTACATATTTGTTGGTCCAAAGGTTCTTGGTTTGTTGGTTCGTTGCCAGCCAGACAACCAGCTACAGTTCCTTCTTGCTTATTCTTGTCATTCTGGACATCTGATATTCAGTGTCAGTATTGAGTGAGCGGAGGTGGCAACCGTTGATGAATGTCTGTAGTATGTTGCAAATGATTTTCACAACACACCAACCCTATGAATTAATCATATAGAAGCACTGAGTTACTTGACTGACATTAGTGTATAAAATCCGGATCATGTTCACGCTTTATACTGAGTGTAGTGCAGTGCAGTACAGTGCAGTAGATCTCCACACTGATTTCATATTGATGAAGACCTGTCTTACTGTCCTTCCGATCCTGGATTTGACGTCGTCATGTGTATCACCACCGCCGCCTGTTCTTGGAACAATGCTACCTAGACAGGTGGGTGAAAGAGACCAATTCCTTTAGATTTCTCCCGTTCATGGTGATTGTTGTTGGTTGGTTGGTTGGTTGGTTGGTTGTGTATCTTCATCACCTCTATCTTCGCTACGTCCACCTGAAGGAAGTCCCATCTTCCTTCGCTGCCTCACCTCTTCTGTCAACTTGTTGGACTTTGCCTGTAGATCTTCGAGTTTGTGAGACAAGACATTAGACATAAATCATGATCGGGGGTAAAATCGAAATCTTCTTGTGGTGTGGTGTGTTTCATCGGTCCAGCCAGTGAATGGTCATTTTGTCGCTCCTCACAATTTGTTGTGTGATCCAGTGCAGTGCAGTGCAGTCGAGTCGAGTTGACCACAATCAGGAAGATCATGAATGATAGTATGCGTCAGCCTTGTCTTACTCTTTCCTGTCTTCACTTCAGAGGCATCAATGAGCTTTCCATTGTGAATCACTTGGCATATGGCGTCGTCACATAGCTGTTGAATGGTGTTGATAAGGGTTTGTGGCATTAAAACCGTAGTGTTGAAGCAGCGGCCTGGCAAATTACTTCTCGGTCGACGCTGTGGAAAGCCTTTTCAAAGTCGATGAAGCTGAGGTAAAGGGTTGACTGCCATTATATATATATATATATATATATATATATATATATATATATATATATATATATATATGAACCTAGCCTGGTTAACTAGTTCACTAGTTACTAGCCGGTCCTAAGCCCGGGTAAAGAGGGAAGGTTGGGCATAGGGCTAGCAACCTTACCCCGGAAAACAAATCTAACTGCTAAAGAAACTTCAAAGCATAAACAAGATATAAAAAATGAAAACAAAATTATTCCTCGCTGGAATCGGAGAGGCGAAATGATGCCAGTTGGTGAAAGCCTCCCAGAAGCCAATTCGCCGATGTGTCTTCTCTCGATGAAAGCGAATGTAAACGTGGGGACATGGAATGTCCGCACCATGTTTGAACCCAGCAAGGCAGCCCAGATTGCAAAAGAGATGAGAAGGTATCACATTGAAGTGCTTGGAATTTGCGAAAGCAGATGGAATGTAAGTGGACTCTCCAAACTTTCAACTGGAGAATCAATAATCTACTCCAATATTGTCACCCAAACAACAACCACCAGCACACTCAGTTTTCCAGTGGCTACCATGATGCCCCCAAAAGCATCGAAGACTCTCTCTCTCTCTCTCATGCAGTGGGGACCAATCTCCTCCAGCATCAGGATCATGACAGCAAGGTTCAACTCAAAAGGAAGAGAAGTCACAATGATTCAATGATACGCTATACACCGACAAATAAGTCAGATGAAGAGAAGGAGGAGGAATTCTACAGACAGCTGCAATCAACACTGGACAAGACCTCAGTTGGCCATATCAAAATTCTAGTGGGCGACATGAATGCCAAACTGGGAGTGGACAACACAGGAAGATAACTAACTATGGGTCGAGAAGCGTTTGGGTAGGTAATGAACGAGAATGGAGAATTGATTGCAGAATTCTGTGCATTCAGCGATTTGGTGATTGCAGTGAGGCACTGTGTTCAAGCACAAGGATATCCATAAAGTGACATGGATTTCACCAGACACCAGGACACACTAAAAATCAAATCGACTTTATCTCAATCTCAAGAAAATGGAGACGCAGTCTACTTAACACAAGGTCAAGAAGAGGAGCAGATGTAGGTTCAGACCACTCACTGTCTAGTGCAAGGAACCTTCCAAATCAAGTTAAAAGCCTTCAAGGAAGCTGGTGATAGACCTCAATTCAAGTACAACACTCGGAAACTGAAGGATGAAACTACAAAGGAACTCTTCAAGGCAGCCATCAAGACAAAATGGGAGATATCGAGGAACATCCCTGAAGAAACCTGTGTGGAAGAACACTGGAAGTCTTTGAAAGCTATGTGGAAAGAAACCTGCACAACAGTATTAGGAAGGAAGAAGAAAGAAGACAAGGAATGGATCTCGACGGATACCTGGGAGCTGATAGAGGAGAGGAAGATGGTGAAACAGAAGATAAACCAGTGCAAGGATGCTCAACGACAAGAGGAACTGAACACAATGTATAAAACACTAAACAAAGAAGTAAAGAAGAGTGCACGCAAAGACAAAAGACACTTCTACGACACAGTGGCAAGTGGAGCAGAACAGGCTGCTGGTAGGAGAGACCTGACAACATTGTATCAAATAACCAGGTTGCTATCTGGGAGGGGAAAAATCAACGCAGACGAAACCAATAAAAGATGATGACGGAAATCTAATTATGAAAGAAGAGGAACAAATGAACAATGGGCCGACCACTTCAAGAAGCTCTTGAATCGACCACCACCTGCACTTCCTCCAGAAATACCACCTGCAGCCCAGCTGCTGAACTACAAGTGAACATAAATCCTCCAACGAAAATGGAAGTCCTGAACGCCATAAAGCTACTGAAATGTGGGAAAGCAGCAGGACCAGATGGGATCCCGCCAGAAGCACTGAGAGCAGACGCAGAGACAACAGCGGACATGCTCACACCACTATTGCAGAAGGTGTGGAGGGAAGAGAAGGTACCTGGCGATTGGAAGAAGGGTTACCTTGTCAAACTTCCGAAGAAGGGAGACCTCAGTGCTTGCAAGAACTGGCGCGGAATCACTCTCCTGTCCACCCTAAGGGGGATACGCTGGACAACGGAAAAGAACCTAGAAGATCTGGATTTCGCCGTCGATGACTTGTGTCTAATGTCACACAAACTTGAAGATCTGAGGGCGAAAACTAACAAGTTGTCAGAAGAGGCAGCGAAGACGGGACTTCAGGTGAATATAGAGAAGATAGAAGTGATGAAGATACTTCACCAACAACTCCAACAACAACAACAAACTCCAGTCACCATCAATGGGAGAAACTTAAAGGAAGTAACCTCCTTCACCTATCTAGGAAGCACTGTTTCAACTACAGACGGGACAGGCACAGACGAGGATGTCAAAGTCAGAATCGGAAAAGCAAGACAGGCGTTCATTAGCCTGAAACCAGTGTGGAGATCTTCTGCACTGCACTCAGCACAAAGAACAAGATCCGGATTTTCAACACCAACGTCAGTCAAGT